TTTAAATATAAGAATTAAACCCATTATTGCTAGAATTAAAACTAAGACCAATAAACCATTTAAAGGAAAATATATTATAAAAGTAATTGAAAATAATAAAAACATATTTATTGAACATTATATTTTGTTTTTTAATGATAAAAATGTTATGTTAATTTTTAAATCTATAAGTTCAGCCAAATTGTATTTTAATGTAGAATGGATTACAATAAATAATATTTTAGATAGTGGTCGAATGATTAATCTAAAAGGGATAGATTGAAAAATTATATCAATTACACCTATAAATTAAAAAAGTTAGATTTATAAAATTTCATTCCTTTTGTTGAAAAAGTTCTTTAAAGGTTTATATTAATTTTTATTTTAGGTTGAATAATAAATAATTTGTTTATTAATAAAAACACTAATCACCTTTATGTAGGTAGTAGTGTTAATTTATCTAGAAGAATGGGTATACATTTTTATAACGCAAATAGCGATAAACAAACAAATATTGTAATTACTCGGGCTATGAGAAAACACGGTTTAGAAAACTTTTCTTTAGCTATATTAGAATTTTGTAATAAAGATCTGACTACTTGCGTTAAATTAGAACAAAAATGAATAGATTATTACAATCCTGAGTATAATGTTCTTAAGATTGCAGCTAACTCGTCAGGTTTAAAACATTCTGAAGAAACTATTATAAAATTAAAAAAAATGTTTAGTAAAGAAAATCATCCTAAATTTGGCTATGTTACTTCTTCTGAAACCAAAAAAGCAATTAGTGATGGGAATAAAGAATTTTATCGAACTCGTTCTCATCCTACTAAAGGCTTAAAAGGAATATTATCTAAACAATATGGTATTGGAGGAAAGACAGTTTTTTGTTATAATAAAGCAAATCAAGAGCTAATTTTTCCTTCTTTAAATTCAGCTAGACAACATTTTAAAGTTAGGCATACTACTATCGGTAATAATGTTGACACTGGTAATTGAATTACTTTATTAGGTGAAGATTGAATACTTCAATCAACTCGTCGTTAGAATAATTAACATTAGCCCCTACCAATTTTTTCTAAATGCTGGGAAATTTAAAGATTAAATACTTTTTAATAAAAACGAATAACAATCTTAAATTATCAGCAGGGTCACAGGTTTAATCATGATCCTTAGAGACTAGACGAAAAAACATTGTTTTATCAATGATGATATAGTCCAATATAAAATAGCATTTTTAGATTTCTATTTTATATATTTGTAATGTTACATTCTTCCCTCAACATTTCTTAGGTCAAATTATAGTAGGCCCGTTTAATAGTAATATTACTTTGTATTTATCTATATGCTGGAACATCTTTAAATAAATGATAATTAGTTATCGTTTTATTAAAGACAATCAGCAGGAAAAAAATAAAATTTTAATATTTAAATTTTTTTTTTTCCTCAGAGACTAGATGATATTATCCTTTATGGATAAAGATATAGTCCAAATTGATATAATCATATGTTTATATATCAACTAGTTACTAGATGCTGAAAAAAATAATATAAACTTTAGAAATAAATCAAATTTTTATCATAGTGACAATGGACCTTCCAATGATAATTATGACCCTGAGGAAGATGACTCGGAAAAAAATTCCGTTGATAATAATAATTTAATTACTATTAATCCAAACCATAATTTGGTAAATTTAAATAAATTGGACGCAAGCAAATTAAAATCTAAACCTTTATATATTCATAAGTCTTTTAAAGGATAAAGATATAATATTAAAAAATTATAAATTTGTTAGTGGTATTTATCTTTTACATAATACAATAAATGGAAAACAATATATTGGTAGTGCTCATGATTTAAGTAAAAGATTAGCTGCTTATTATTTTCCTTCTCGGTTAATAGATAACAGACATATTTCAAATTCAATTTTAAAATATGGTCATTATTGTTTTTCTCTTGTTATTTTAGATATTTTAGGAAAAACTGGTTTACATTCTAAATTAGACATTTTAACTAAAGAAGAATATTATTTTAAATTATATAATCCTATTTTAAATATAAACCCCAAAGCTAGTTCAAGTTTAGGATTTAAACATTCTGAAACATCTAAAAAATTAATAGCTGAATTTAGAAAAGGTAAACCCTTATCTGATGAAACTAAAAAAAAACTTAGTGAATTATTTTCTGGGGAATTAAATCCATTTTGATCTAAGAAGCATAATTTTGATTCTTTAGATAAAATGAAAATAGCTAAACAAGGAAAATTAAATCCAATGTATGGTAAACCAAAATCTAAAGAATTTATAGAACAAATGTACAAAGATAAAACAGGAGCCAATAATCCTATGAGCAAAGAAGTTTATGTTTATGATGCCTGTACAAAAAAACTTATACGACGGTATGATACTCGAGCTTCTCTTGTAAAAGATTTACATATTTCCAAAGTTACTATTAATAAATATATAGATTCAAATATTGAATATAAATCAATGTTATTTTTTTCAAATGAACAATAGTTTTTTGATTTTTAGTCTAGTATATTTAATTAATGTGTTTATTATTTTTAATATTTAGCTTTTTTTTGTAACATAATTATATTTATTATATATTTTATCAATACGCTACAGGGTATGCCACGTCGTATCAGTGACTATGCTGACGCCTACGCAGGATGAAATTATGTGTCAAGTTATGGATCTATTATTTCAGTAGGAGCTACAGTAATTTTCTTATATGCTCTATATATCCAATTAGTATATGGAGAGTCTGCAAATAGAAATATTTGATATTACCCAGAATTTAATACTGATTATCTTAGAGCCTTATTATCTAGAGCTCAAATATCTATTGAATGAAATTTACATAGTCCACCTATTCCACATTCTTATACTTCTCTTCCACAACAAAGTATTTTTTTTAAAGGGGGGCTTTAATATATATATTGATACTATTATTAAGTAATTATGATTCTAGTGATAGAACTAAAAAAATGAATATAACTAAAGATACATTTACTAAGTGAAATACTGCTAAGATAAATAGACATAATAGTAGTGAGGAGAAGTTTAATTCTATGGGTGATATTGTAAAAGAATAACATTATAAATTGGAAGATAACTTTTTTAATATTCTTTTATATGTTAATAAAGGTGAAAAGTTTATTATACACACTGAACGTATTAATAATGAATATTATATTAACATAAAATCTTTGAGCGTGGCTACTAGTGATACTACAAATATACAAAGTAGTTCAAACACTAATAATAGCGTCATTCTAAATGAGATTAAAAAAAATGTAAGCGATATGGATATACAAACAAAGGAAAATTCATCATTTGAAGTATCAAAAAGTAGTCAAGCATCTGAAGAAGAAAAAAGTTGCTGCAGAAGCTCTTTTATCATTAAATAAAAATTCTTCCAATACTAGTTCAAATAATGTATTATCTCAAGTTGAAAGTTCTTCATTTAATATTAAAGTTTAAGCTAATTGTTTATTAAAACTCTAATTAAAAATGAATATTTCATATCTTTCAATATTGAAAAAAATCTAGGATAATAAACTTCGCTGTATACTATAATCTATTCAATACTTAAAATTTATACTTTTATTATAGTAAATACAATTAATTTATCTTTAAATTATTCCATTTATTTATTCTAATTTAATGTTACTTTCATTTGGTTTATACGAATTTAAAAATAGAAAATTTATTTATTATAATAAAATTCTGAAATTAGTCTCATCCTTTGTTGATGTTTAACAAAATAATAAAAATTAGAATTATTTTGTTTAAAAAACTTATTTATCCTTTGTTGATTAACAAAATAATAAAAAATAATAAATTGTTTTTTAAACAAAATAATAAAATAAACTTATAAAGTTTTTGAATCCACTTAGATAAATTTTGAAGGTGGGTTTTTAATTTATAATAAGGGGGTAGGTGTGGTAAAGTTTATAATTATATTTTAATTATTATTATTAAATTTTTAAATTATGAGATAAATATTACCGTAGGGTTTTTATTAAAGTATGAAATATACAGCTGCTTCGTAGCTGGTACTCTCAAAATTAAAATTCAATTAATTGTAAAAATATAATACAATAGATTATTATCATAAAATAATATTTAATTATTATATAATAAAAATTAGGTAAAAAGACCCACATAAGTGGTTTTAAATATTTTACATAAAAACAATATGTGTTGCGCGATGTTTAAGCCTGTTAAACGACCAAAATTAATAATACTATTCTAAATTAAGTTAATAATTTTAAAAATAATAATACAAAAAATACGAATTAATATATACGTGTGATAACGCCGCACCGAAGGAGGGGCGTTAAAAACTAAAAGTTATTAAAAAATCAAGCTAATAATTACATAATTTGAAAATATTTAAAGTGAAAATTCAAGCAGTGATGTAATGAAAATTTAACTATAGGCGTGTATTATGATTATAAGAATTTTTTTTCGATTAATAAAGATATTAAAACTATACAGAAATAGTAATTGATGATAATTAAAATTATTTGTGTATAGTAAGATACGATAAAGCACGTACACAATATAATTTTAATAATTTTATTTAAAGAGTATTATATTGGCTTTATTAGTTTATAAATTTTTAAAAATAACTTTTAATAAAAATTTATTAAAAAAATTATTATATAGGAATATTATAAAAAATTATTAAATGAATTAAAAATAAAATACCAAATACTGTGATACTTAAAATAATTTAAATATAAGGGCTATCGATTAAAAATTCTAATGGTTATTTTTAAGCTGAAAGTTCAAACTAATTTATAATGGTTATTAATATTTTAAGATTAAGGGTAAAATTTATAATAAGCTCAACTATTTATAAATTAAATATTTTTAGTTGAGCTAAAGTTTACTTTATTAGTGGGCTCTGCACAAAGTATGCTGAAAAGATAAAAATATTTGAAGTTACTAAGTAGAAAAATTTAATTAAGGTTATTAAATTATATATAATCACTACCCTTTTTTAATCACGTTTAGCTCAAAGGTAGAGCATCTTATTACGGATGAGATGGTTATTTGTTCAAATCAAATAACGTGATAAATATAACTATCGGGCCGCTTTGCGGTCTTGTTACGCCAGTGATGTTGGTAATGTTTAATTTATAAATATGATTTTATTATTGAATTTAATATATTTTCATCTGATTAGTTAAATCCATTTTTATAGATTATTAAATGGTACTAAATAATAAATATTTTATAATATACACCCTATAAAAATAAATCTTCTAACTTTTAAAATTTAATAACATTTTAAATTATTTTAGTAAATATTAATATATTAAATCTTGTAATTTATATAATATATAAGTCATTTAAAATATATAATAAATTTGATATATTATTTCATATAATATAATTATAAATTTTATAAAGTACGTAGTGCATTATGCGCGATGTTAATTCGCTACACGATGATGCCCTATATATAATAAACCTATATAATTAGAAATTAATTTATTGTTTATCTATAAAGTCAATATAGTGTTTAATGACGATTATATTTTAAGTTTATATCATTATTGAAACTAAATTTTATTTATTGTTGAAATAATTATTTGGATTAAAGTATTACATAGGTAATATAAAATTTTACATAAAATCATATAATATTTAAAAATAATGCATATACTATTATAAATTATTAAAAAGTTTGCTTTAATAATTGTTAAAAAATGGCTAAAATTATAAAAGTTTATAAAATTGTCGGTCATTAAAGCGCTTAAAATTCAAGGGCCATTTTTAACGGCCTTATAATCTCATAAAGGTATCATTAAACTAGCTCATGATAATATTATTAATACAATTAATTATAATTTTACGTATAAAAGGTTCTATAACATCAATATTAAAAAGATATTTAAATTGATTTTTATAAATAAATTATATAGAAATTGTATTTTTGAGTAAGATTATATTTATCAAATTTTAGTAATAAATGAATAAAATCATTTTTATTTAAAAATAATTAACAATAATGGGTATTATATATAAAAATTTTAAATGTATTAAGTATACTTAGGTTTAAATTTTTCAGTTACAACGCGCGTAATGCGCGCTGTTTCTATAAATTTTATTTACTTTAGCTAATAGTGTTTTAATTATTAAAATATATTTGTTTTAAATAATTTATTTAAACTTATACTTTGTATATAACTAGTTATTCTTTAAATAAAAATTTATAATTTAATATTAAATTTATTAAAATTTTATTTGAATAATAAGGTTAAATTCGACGGTCGTGTTCGTAAATTTTTTTAATTTCCGCGCGCCGTGATTAACAAGGCGCGCATTATATTTTTAATATTACATTTCTCCTGGGTAGTAGACGTTTAGCGCGCGATGTTTTATATCAATGGCTAGCGCTTGAATAAAATTTAACATGGTGCGATAGCATTTTGCGCGGTATGCGCTAAGCATATAAAGGTTAAAAATATAAAAGCTATAATTCAATATTGTAAATATATTAATATATTGTTATAATTAGATGAGTATTCTAAATATTATTTTTATAATTATTACTTTATACTCACCGTAATTGGTAATGTCATTACATAAAATAAAAAAAAATATATGGTTTACCATCATGTCAATGATGGTTTAAATAATATAATTGAAAAATAAAAATGGTTTAAACAAAGTTCAATTATTTGTAATAGGTTGAAAATTTGATTAATTATCAGTACATTTATATAAGGTTAGAATTGAAAATAAAATTTTTATTGTGTTATTTGCCTTAATAATATATTAAAAATAAAAAAAATATTATTATATAAGTTAAGCTATTATATTTTATACTATGATAAATACTATGATATTATTATTAAATATTTAATATTATTATATTTTTATTTATATTAATAAAAAAATTAGTAACATTTTCTAATAAAATTTAAAAATATTTTTGTGGAGGGGTAACAATTGAATAAATGTTAATTTAATATGATAAAAATTACAAATAAAAAAAATTAAGGTTAAAAATATTGTAAAGAGGGGGGGTTAATAATTTATCCTCATTGATAATGTAATTAAAATTTACGTGAAGTATATAATTAAAAAAAATTAAATATATTTCTGGATTTATACTTTGGCTATATATTTATTATATATCGGAAAGTCTGATGCTTATTAGCCATAAAATACTTTGATAAAATTATTAATTTTGTTAAATAGTAATTTAGGATAAAAACCCTGGTATTTAAAAGAAATTATTTATCATATAATGTAAATAGTTAAAAATTATAATATATATGATAGTGCAATTGCAAAGAAGCCTATGGTTAGCTTTATTTAGTTAGCTTCAAATTAATACTAAAATCAGCTTATTTAAATCAGAATATTTTAACATGTTTAGCTCAAAGGTAGAGTGTATTAGAAAAAAGTTAATAAATATGTAGGTTCAATTCCATACAACATGTACATAAAAATTTAATATAATTAAATTTTATAATCGCAATATACTTCAAGTTTAACTTGGCAAAGTCTTTAGTCATTAAAAAAAATAATATTCAAGTTAATAAACCTGAGTAGCTAAAGCAAAATTTAATCAAGGATTGACTATAAACAATTCCTTTTTTAAAAGTTTAAATAATAAACAATTTGAAATTACAACTTTTGGTAATTTCAACTCTGAAAATTCATTTAACCAAAATTTTTTTTCAATTTATTTAAAAAATTTAAATTATCTCAATAATAAATTAAATTTAAAAAAAACAAACATTGCCGTATGAAGTAGAAAGGTACAAAGTTTTATACCAAATATTATATTTATGTTTAGTATTATGCTTATTGTACATTTTATTCATAATGGTATTTTTTTTGATAATAATTATATTTTATTAGAATTAATTATATCAAGTAAAACTTATACTATAACTAATTATGAAAAGAGTCAGATTATTATAGATAAAAAATCTTATTCTACAAAGGCTAATACTAAAATTTTTGAATTTTATTCTAATAATAATATTAAGCCTTCTAATTATAATATTAATGATAATAATATAGAAGATGAATCATTATTAGTAAAACATAGACCGGCTTCGGTAAGAGAATGATCACAATCTGTTTATTCTTATAATAAGTTAGAATTAAGAGACTTAATGAATTTATATATGATAATTACAAAATGAATAAAAATTTATTTTTATTCTATTCCGGCTTTTGCTAGAAAAAAAATGTATAAATTAAAAAAGCGTTTAATCACACATAAAATTTTCATCAGTACTCCTAAGCTTAAACATACTAGCTCTAAAATTCTAATAACATTATATTTTTTTGCAGAGCAAAAAAAAATAAGTACTTATTTTAGAAAAAAATACAATAATAAAAAAGATTCTATATATTTTAATATGGATTATTTATTTAATCATATAGATAAAAATACTTATAAACCAATAATTGATTATGTGAAAGAAATTCAATATTTATTATTTAAAACAAAAATTAATAGTTATTGATTAGATGGTATTTTAGAAAAAGATAAGTTACAATTTTTTAAAGCAAATTTTGATAATTTAAAAGTAGATTGATTCAAAAAAAGTTTAGTATATTATAATGATATAATAAATTCAATGTCTATAATTATTAAAGCTATTATGTTAAGATATAAATTAAAATTAATACGATTAGATATAAATAAATTAAAATTAAAATTTATAATAAGCAAATGAATTAATGTTATAATAAAAAATTATCCTAAATTTTATATAAATAATAGAATAATATTTAGTATTATGATAATAAGAATAATAAATTGATTATTCAAAAATAAAAGAGAAGATTCTTTTGAATTAAAAAAAAAAGAAGAAAAAATTACTAAATTAATTAATAAAATAAAAGATGATTTAAATTTAATTAAAATAAATAAAAATAAAATGACTAATATACTTACTAGAATAATAAAAAAAGCTAAATATATAAAAAAAAATAAAGTAAAAATTAGTAAAATAATTAATAGAATAGAAAAAAAAAAAAAAATTATAGAGAGAAATAATGAAATAATTAATGAAACAAAAGAATATATTGAATTTAAAATCAATAAAGATTTAATTAATAAAATAATTAGAGAAAAAAGAATTGAATCAGCGCGAAGTGCTGAAAGAGATGATGAAATAATTAATGAAATAAAAAAATATATTGAACAAATTAATAAATATAATATGCTTTTTGAAATAATTAAGAATATAAATGAAATATTAGCATATATAACTGAAGGAGTTAAAGATGCTTTAAATAATTCTATAAAAATTTCTGGTATTAAATTTTTTTCATACATTAATTCACAAATAAGTAAAGCTTCCTTGCTTATAAGTTTTAATTATTTAGTTAAATATAATTTTAAAAAAATATATTTAGAAAAGTTAGGTGTATTTACTCAAATAGGAAGAGACAGATTATATCCTAATTCACAAATAATAATGAGTTATATAAAAAAAAAAAATTTTGAATTTTTTCTTTTTTTAACAAAATATTTTTTAAAAAAGCATAAATTTGAATCTAAAATTAATAAACTGAAAATTTGATTACTTAATTATTTAAATAGATATTCTAAAAAAAAAATAGAAATTAATCTAATAAGACTTAAATATATTTATTTAAACAGTAATATGCTAGCAGAATTTATAGCTAGAAAATTAATAACAAAAAAAAGAAGTCTTCTTAAAGCTAAAATAAAAATATTTGCTAAAGCTAAGTTAGTACGTTTTAATAAATATAAACTAAAAGATAAAATAAATGTATTTAATATTATGGGTATAAATTCATTACGAGAGTTATCTTCTTTAAAATCCAATAATTATTATTTATACTTGGAACTATTAAGTAGAATTAAATATAAATTTATTTCTGGAATTAAATTAATAGCTGCTGGAAGATTAACCAAACGTAATATCGCCGCTCGGGCAGTAAAAGCAATGACATATAAGGGAAGTTTAAAAAATCTTGATTCATCACACAGATCTATCTCTATTCCTGCTATGAGAGGAGACTGACGACCTAATTTAGATTTTACTGTTGTTCATAATACTGCTAAAACAGG